TGGCCCTGCGCGTGCGGGGCCCCGAATCGGACACCTCTCTCCCCCAGCCCCCGCCGCCGTGCCTACCGGAGTTCGGCGTGGTGGGCGAGTTGGTCTGGCTGTTCTGGACGGCGGCGGCGGCCGCGTGCGCGGCCGTGACGGCGGTTTTGGCTGCGTAGAGGTTCGCCTCCTCCTGGAACTTGCCGATGTTCTTCTTGTACCTGATGCGCTTGTTGCCAAACCAGTTCGATACCTGAGGGAGGAGAGGAGAGGGGAGGAGAGCGAGAGGAGAAGTGTCAGGCGTCAGACAGCCGAGCTACTGTGCACTGAGCAGTGTGATTGTTTCAAGATGTCACGTTTAGGTCCATCAAATACACAATTCCCAACCTTCTCAGTAATGTCCGCTGGGTATCCAGACTAATTAAGCAATAATCAAGGATCACTTGTGCGTTATTATGGATGTGAGCATGACATGGTTCTGTTTGTCTCTTGGCAAAACTGATACACCAGGGGTTGCTTGTCTGTGACAACACACATCTTAAAGTTTTCTGACGTGATTGCATTACTAAGCCTGCTGTTCATAATGAGGCTTTAGTCACTTTGTTAAACTGGAAGAGGGGGGGGAAGGGAGACGAGACCGCGCCTTTTGTTTCTGTCGCGGGCAAGGGAAAACGAACAGGGAGAGAAGGGAGGTGTTGTTCTTTGTTTCTGGGCTAAAACAACCTTGGGAGCTGTGCTGAAGTCTGAACCTGGGCTGTGCAGATAGGTCCAGTGGAGGCGATATTAATCAAAGGCCAATGAAATGTTGCTTTGTCTCACTGTGCCCTGATAAGCCCTGGAATGGAGACCAGCAAGCAAGTGGCAGACATGATCCTTCCCTTCTTTCTTGCTTTAGAAAGTCACACTGCAGACAAAGCCACACGCAGCCTTTTGCAACTGCGGAGGACTTGCTTTATCCATGTGGAGGAGAAGTGAACTTCAGTAGCATGCTAGAATATTTTATGACGGGCGTGTCTCGTTACGGACGCTGTGACTCATTGCTACTCTGCCATGTTTTCATCCCAGAGGGCTGCTACAGAAAGTAAAAGACTCTGCAATGCTCGTTCTTGAGCCCATGCATTTGACAATGTATAGGTCGGTCATTTGTACAGCCTGCATTTATGGCTGTTGGTTGGAATTACAGGATAGGACCAAGCATCGAACAAAACAGCATAGGCGCACGCAACTGAGAGACTTTATTGCGTGAGGTGTTTGATTCTGCAATGCTTTCTAGTCCCTTCCTGCAGCATCGCCAGGTGCTCGTGGTTGGAGTGGGGTGCACAAGGAGCGCAAGCAGTCATTTCACCATCAGAGCCCTCTCCATCCTCCACCTGCTCTGTTTGCCAAGACCTGTCCACCCAGCATGTCTACAGCTGCCCTGTGCCGAACTGCAGGAGCAGTCAACCCCCAGGAAGGCAGAGACTGCTCCCCACCCCGTCTCTAATCTGCTCGGCTTAGCCTTGGCCAGTTAGTGACCCAACTAGAAGACGTCTCCGCGCACAACAGTGCGGCATTCCTCCATCACACGGCTGCCGCTGGCACTATTCTCACGAGCTAGGGACACCTCCATGATGTCTGAAGGAACTGTACTGTACACACGCCTCTCGGTTTTCAAACATAGCTCGTCCCTGGAAAACACTCCATGTAAAATTCCCCAGGCCTAGAAAGTCACCTGGTGTTGCTTATTGTTTCCCTAATGGAGCACAACTGCCGGATTGTTGTAGTTCGTCAAACTGCTCACTCATGTGCAGTACCGAGAGGATAAATACAATGTGTCAAAATACCCAGAGGGCAGATGCACTGACTGGAGGATATGCTATGAGGATGAGGATGACATTTCCCAATCAGCTACGAAGGACACAGCGTTACTGCAGCTAAAAATCTCCTCATGACTGCGAAAAAACGGGTGTGAAAAAGTGCGCTTTGTTAAAAATTGGTTAAACCATTATTTGTAAGTCGAAGGATGGGTGTAGATGCTGTCTTAATTGGTTTCGAATAGCAAAAGTATTAGGACCTGTACCTATGTTTCAAAGTCTTGGGTCTTGTAGGGCCCATCATTAAAGAACTTTAATGCACACTGCATTCAGGGTATGTAGCTGTTTCTGAAATATCAGCCATGCATGTATTAGAGAAACAGATAAAAATGTTAAGTTCTGAAAGAAATTGTTTCTCCCCACATATATTCCAGGGAACTGGAGGTAGAAAACCATTTATCTCACGTGGAGAATAAATGTTTTTGAAGCCAGTGGTTAATATGCTTAATAAAATTATCGCTATGGGCGGCAGAACAGAAAAATAATGAGCACATTCTTGACATCCACAGACAAACACTACAAAAATACTGTTACATGAAACTTTTCCAAACGTGAAGAAGGCTCCCGCTTAGGAGAGTCACCGTGAGGAAAGGCCCAGATTATGTCTGTTTTCCTTAATTGCCCAAGAAATTGAAGAGCGTTGTTGTCAGAGAGAATTTCCACAAGGTTCCTCATCTTCGGAACTGAAGCCTTCCTTGACCAAGCAAAGAGCAGCTGCCCTTAATGAAGGTTTATTTCATTTCCAATCCCCGCGCTTAAATTTTAATATCTGCCGCAGCCCGGCGAGGCTGTGGAGAGTGGATTTGCATGACATCAGATCGTTTCTATCCTGCAAGTCTCAGTGCTTCTAAATCTTTAATATCTAGGCAATTAAAATTAATGACCATTCAAGCGAAGCCACTGTTGGCAGTGTTTCCTTGACATCAATTGTTTGATGGGTTTACCTAGAGGTTAAACTAACAAGCAGGGTTTAATTGGAAGCAATGAAAGGGCTAGCCATCATCCTTTATACTTAACCTGCTTAGGGATCCTCCACCAAAAGAGCACCAATCTCTGTCCACAACCGCGAAAAACCCCCCACCTGAGCTTGCTGAGGAGGCAGGCAGGCTACAACATACATCTGATCTACAACTGCGGGATTATTGACTCCATATTAAAAACTCCGTAATGAAAGCTGCTTTTAAATTCAGCGCAGATCCCCAAATAACCGGATCACGAAAATCTCTGTGGCGTCACAGCCCCTAGCCATAAACAGCTAAGTCTTTTGGCTTATTGAAAGTAAAAGTCACATTAAAATATGTAAATATAAAATATATCACAAAACCAAGCATTCCTTGTGCAGTATACAAGAGACCAGAAAGCAGCCCAAAAGCACAGAGCACAGAGCAGAGTGTAAGAGGGGCACAATCGGGTGCAATTTAGAGACACCACTTAACCTAAACAGCATGAGGGCAGAAATTAATCGGAGCAGAAGACAAGACTGACATGCAAACTGCAGGGAAGAATCCGCAGCCCGGACTCGAACCCTGTTCCCAGGAGCACAGACTGCCACCCCTTAACAACGTGGGCTTTATTTATTTTCTCAAATTAAATTTCACATTACAAGTGATTTCCTAGTTTAAGATTCAGCCGATAATATTTT